CCTTCTCCAGGTGCCAGCCATTGTGAGGTACATCCACCAGTGCCTCACCTTCCACCTGTCTCCAGATGTCAGGCAGCACATTGACATCCGCAGGCTCGCTGACAGAAACCCTCATGAGGTCGTGATGACTCTGCTGGGCTGTGCCCCAGAGTGTGACAGGTACAGGGCTCAGCTGCCTTGGTGGCTTCAGGGCTCACCAAACCTTAAAACCTATCACCCTGTAGAGCCTGACCCACCTGTTCTGCCAGGCAGATGGAGAGTTCCAGGACCCTCTGACTCCTCCATTTCCCAGCCCTGGCCTGTCAGCCCCCAGTCCAGCTGCCATTTACCCTCCCTGTCCCTCGAGGCACAGTGGCTCTCTCACCTGGGCCCCCACAGCTGCCTTGGCCATGGCACTGTGGTTGAGACCCCCCTGACCCAGAGCTCTGTCTCCACAGAGCTGCTGCAGTGATGTGGAGAAGCATCGCCTCCTCAGGAACAGCAGTCGAGAAGGTGCTGCCAACACTGCTTGGAGCAATGGACGACTGGCCAGTGCACAGCGCTGACATCTCTAATGCTGAAAACAACACAGGCATCTTTTCCCTGGCTGTGAGTTTCTGGAACTGGCCTGTACTCCTGCCCAACTTGCCTCCCCCACCTCTGCATCTCCCTGCCTCAGGCGTTGGGCTGCAAATATGGCTGAGGGGCAGGTTCAGGGGCACCAGGCTGGCTGCTCCCCCTGGGACTTCCCTGGCCTCTCCCTCCCATGGTCGGGCCCTGTCACATGAATGTCTCACACTGAGCGCTGTCTCTATGTGGTTTTATTGCAGGCAACCCTGGCACTGTGGCACATCATCCAGGAGCCCAAATGCAAAGAGGCCATGACTAATCATGCCCCACACCTCCTCTTGTCTCTGCTCTTCCAAATTTCCATGAGCACAGAGCAGATGTCAGAGGAGGTCAATGCTTTCTGGAGGCAGTGCCAGGAGGAACATGGCCTTCCCAACAACTCCAGCAGGTGCTCTATCCCTGTCCTCTATCCCTCCTATGCCCTCAGGACTGGGGCCAGGGCTCCCAGCATGACCTGGCCTTTGCTCTGCACACAGGTTTGCAGTACAGACCCTGAAGGCTCTGCTCTGCCGCCTGCACTGGGAGAATGAGGTGGTGGCCATTGAACAGAAGCGTGGCTGGGAGACACTGCTGTGTCCTGACACCCACCATTATGCAGTGGGGCTGCTGGCCAGGTGAGACACCCTTCTCCCCACTGTGCCTTTTGCCTCTCCCCTGTGCATGGGGAACCCCACACAGCCCCTGTGGGTGTGGGCCACATGGCTGAGCAGATTGGAAAAGGCTGTGAGAGCTGGGTGCACAGGAGGAGCTACCTCCCAAAGCACCCCTGTTCTGTCCAGGGCTACTGGGGGAAGTCCAGGCCGTTGGGAGTCAGT